AAGCTAAAAAGACCCAAGGTACTGGGTAGTAATCAGTGTGGTTTCCTAAAGACCCAATTCTATCAATTCAGCTCAATTTCTCTTTTTGAAAAAGTATGTGCTTCTTAGACAAATAATAGGCCTAAGGGAAATAAATCAAAAGCATAACTTTTGTTTCAATTTTATATGACATTAATGACAAAGTGGGAAGATGGGCGTGGAGCAGACATCTGAGTGAATGTTATTCCAAAGCCATAGACTGAGCAGTCAGTGGCCTCTAAAGTATTTATTATATGTGATTTGTCCATCTACCCAACTTATTGACCCTTTTCTTAATTCCATTTTCTGGCAGCTTATAAGTTCAGAAGAGAAATCAGAGTGACCTTGGCAAAATTGATATGTATTTTGATTAAACATGGATATCGTTTTAGTAATGACAGTGAAAAACAGTACTCTGTCTTAAGAGGCTTCATCTCTTCTGCAGGTAAGGGAGCTGAAGAAAACACATTTTGAGATTTCTTTCAGAGACAGAGTTGTTAATAGACTTTTTAAAACATATGGCTTGTAATAAAGTCTAAACTATATTGTGATAATCTGATGTAAATATTATTTTATTATTTAGAATTATCTCAGACATTATTTTAAGACATAAGATAACATTAAAATATTGAGAACCCCCAAAGTTCTTTTTCTGGTTGCTTGTTTGAATAGAGTTTTCGTACTAAAGAAACAATAAAGCTGGTTGCGGTGGCTCACGCCTGTAATCCTAGGCCTTTGGGAGGCTGAGGCGGGAGTATCGCTTGAGCTCAGGAGTTTGAGACCAGCCTGGAAAACATAGGGAGACCTTGTCTCTACAACAACAAAACAAAACAACAACAACAGCAAAAATAGGTGGCTGCGGCACGATCATGGCTCACTGCAGCCTCGACCTCCTGGGCTCAAGCTGTCCTTCCACCTCATGCTCCTGAGTAGCTGGGACTACAGGCTGCAGTGAGCCATGAGCATGCCATTGCACTCCAGCTGGAGCGACAGAGAGAGACCCTGTCTCAAACAAACAACAACGCAAAAATTAGGTGGCTGTGGTGGCACATACCTATAGTCCCAGCTAGTTAGGATGGTGAGGTGGAAGGATTGCTTGAGCCCAAGAAGTCAAGCCTGCAGTGAGCCATGATTGTGCCACTGCACCCCAGCCTGGGTGACAGAGTGAGACCCTGTCTCAAACAAACAAAAAAAAAAAAAAAAGAAGAAGAAAAACCCAGTAATTCAAAAATTTGAGCATTTCCCTTATTTACAGTTACTAGTTATGGTTAGCAACGTATTATTGTTTACTTGAGGCATACCACGCAGTAGGGGAACCTGTGACGTATACCAAAATAGTATTGTTATTTTAATCACCTATTATAATTCTAACGTGATATTCTCAAAGAATGAGAATAAGAAATTATAGTATTTTAATTACATCTAGATTTAGTTGATAATTTAGAAGTTAATCTCAGCCTTTTGCATTGTTTCAAGATCATTGTGTACAGGATAGAAAGATTTCTGGTTGGTGGAATTCTGGATCCTTTGCTGTGATTCTGTTCCTTTGCTGTGATGGATTGCATCTTAAATAAATACAGAACAAACATATGAACTCGTCCCTTATTCCCTTCTCAAGCAGTATTAATTCAGTTCTATCAAATAGCATAGAAAAAAGTTATTATAAACACACGTTAACTTGAGTTACATTTTAATGTTATAACTGTGGGTTTTGTCAAGGTTGTCAGTGGCCTCCATGTTCCTAAAGTCTGTGGTGAATTCCTGATGTTCTTATTTGACCTGTAGCAGCGTTTGTCACAGGTGATCACTCTATCCCTTGGAAGCGCATTCTTCATGCCTTCAGAACACTGCACTTCCTCCATTTTCCTCCTGCCTCCCTGGTCGCCCCTCAGTCTCCTTGCCTGTCCTTACACTCCTCCTGACCTCTTCATGTTGGGGTGCCTCAGGGCTTGTTGCACTGTCCTCTTTCTGTCTATGCTCAGTCCCTTGCAATCTCATTTGTTTTATTTGCTTTAAGTACCATCTATATGCTTATGACTCCCAAATTCATATTTCCAGCCCAGAACCCTTCTACAAACTCCTCACTCTTAAAACCAAAGCCATGACATGTCTTTACTTGATGTCTAATAGACTCTGCAAATGTCACATGTATGTCCAGAACTGAATTCCAATATTTGCCACCCCTGCCACCTGCTCTACCTGCAGACTTCCCTGTCTTTGTTAATGGCAACTCCATTCTTCTTGTTGCTCGGTTGACTCTTCTCTTTCTTCCATATCCTCATCCACATTTTTAGGAAATCCTGTTGGCTCTACTTTCAAATTATGTACAGATTCTGACCACTTCTTATCACCTCCATTCCCATTACTTAGATGAAACTGTCATCATTTCTTACCTGGATTATAGCAGTAGCTTCTCAGTTGGTCTCCCTCTTTCCATCCTTCTCTCCTTAAACTCCCCCCACCTCAACACAGCCTACTGAGTATTTTATAATGAAAACCCAGCCATGTCATACATCTGTTAAAAATCCTTCAGTCATTCCCCATTTTACTCAGAGTAAAAACCAAAGTCCTTATAGTTAGCCTATATGGTCCTAAATGATTTGGTTCCTTTGTTACTTTTCAGACCTCATCTGCTAAGAGTCCCCCACTCCACTCAGCCTTATGACCCTGCTGTTGCTGTTGTTGAAATACAGCAGGCGTGGTCCCACCTCAGAGCCTTTGCAATGGTGGTCCTTTTGCTTGGAACACTTTCCTCAATAGTTCATGCCCATTCTCTTCTCTTTAGGACTGCCATGTGCGCTTTTCACAAAGAGTCACTGATAGTGAACCTCCCACACTGTCACCCTGCTTAACTCAGTGGTGTGACTCTGCTCACTGTAAGTCTTTGCATAAATGCCACTTCTCTGTGATACCAGTCCCAACCACCCAATTTATTTAATTTTATTTTTCCATAGGTTATTGGGGTACAGGTGGCATTTGGTTACATGAGTAAGTTGTTTAGTGCTGATTTGTGAGATTTTGGTGCACCCATCACCTGAGCAGTATACGCTGCACCATATTTGTAGTCTTTTATCCATCACCCCCTGCCACTCTTCCCTCCAAGTCCCCAAAGTCCATCGTATCATTCTTATGCCTTTGTGCCCTCAAAGCTTAGTTCCTACCTATCAGTGAGAACATATGAAGTTTGGTTTTCCATTCCTGAGTTACATCACTTAGAATAATAGTCTCCAATTGGCCGGGCGCAGTGGCTCATGCCTGTAATCCCAGCACTTTGGGAGGCTGAGGCAGGCAGATTACCTGAGCTCAGGAGTTCTCGACCAGCCTGGGCAACATGGTGAAACCCTGTCTCTACTAAAATAGAAAAAGTTAGCCGTGCATGGCAGTGTGTGCCCATAGTCCCAGCTACTTGGGAGGCTGAGGCAGGAGAATTACTTGAACTTGGGAGGCAGAGGTTGCAGTGAGCCGAGATTGTGCTACTGTACTCCAGTCTAGGTGACAAAGCAAGACTGCATCTCAAAAAAGGAGAAAAAAAAATAGTCTCCAATCTCATCCAGGTCACTGAAAATGCTGTTAGTCCATTCAGGCTGTATAGTATTCCATCATATATATTTACCACAGTTTTTTTAATCCACTCTTTGATTGATGGGCATTTAGCCAACCATCCAGTTTAAATTGGAAACCATCTTAGCTTTCCTGGCCTCACTTATTTTGTTCTATTCTGCCCCCCCCCATATCAATTATTACCTTCTTTTTTATTTTTATTTTTATTTTATTTTGTTTTATTTTTGAGACGGAGTCTTGCTCTGTCGCCCAGGCTGCAGTGCAGTGGCACAATCTCGGCTCACTGCAAGCTCCGCCTCCCGGGTTCACGCCATTCTCCTGCCTCAGCCTCCCGAGTAGCTGGGACTACAGGCGCCTGCCACCTCGCCCAGCTAGTTTTTTGTACTTTTCAGTAGTGACGGGGTTTCACCATGTTAGCCAGGATGGTCTCGATCTCCTGACCTCATGATCCGCCCGTCTCGGCCTCCCAAAGTGCTGGGATTACAGGCTTGAGCCACCACGCCCGGCCTAATTATTGCCTTCTAATAAACTACTTTAGTGACTTGATGTTTTGATTATCTTCTTCCCTTGCTAGAACGTAAACTCCATGAGGGCAGAGATTTTTGGTTGTTTTACTTACTCTATGTTAAATGCCTATAACAATATCTGGCACATAGGCGGCACTCAATAAATATTTGTTGAGTATATCATTTAAAATATATTGGGTTTTAAAATGCATTCAACATAGAGAAGGAAAATTAAGTCAATGAGTTTTAAAATTAATGTATTTCATTAGATACGTATTTGCTAGGGAGTTAAAGATTCAATTTTTAAAAAGTTTTATCTTCTAGCTGAGTATATCCATATGTGCTTTATGTCACAGAAAGAATCGGTAGCTTATCTTGGTACCTTATAAAACAAAGGAATTTCAAGTGATAACAGCCATTTAGCAGGTATGTTTGATAAAGCTTTTTCAAGTTTAATTAGAATTTACAGATCTTTGAGAAGCAATTAAAAAATGCCTGCATGTTATTTATTGATTCATAAATAATAATATGGCTTGCTTTATTGGTATGTATGGGATGCTACAATGCATGTGTTATTCAAGTGCAAATATTGATCAAGTCATTAACATCATTAGAAAATTAAGCTACAACAGTTTTTTAAGTGGCTGGGTAGAAGGAATGTATTTAGAAATATATTTATAATATATTTTTATCATGACCTGGTACCTTTTCAGTACAATGATGGCACAGCCAGTGTTTGCATGTAAACATAAGGATTAAGAGGTTTTCTGATCTTGTTTTTTTTTTAAATAATAGGAAAGCGCTTTTATCAGAGGATTTGAAGCAATGCATATCAATAATACGACAGTCCATACTAGCATTTCATAAACATTCAAAGCACCCATGAAAGTGGTTTAGAAAAAGGAGTTGGATTACCTTCTTCACAGTTATGATACCAACTTGGAAATTGGGATCTGTGCTAATGTCAAAGGCATCTGCACCATCTCCATCCACAATAGTGTATTTCATCTCTGCATTTATGCCTTCATCCAAGTCCTTGGCAAACACTCTCCCGACAGTGGAGCTAATTGGAGCTGATTCCAACACACTCATCTGGTAATGTTCTACAAAGAAAAGCCAGGACACGCATTCTTGATAATCCGTCAGTATAAAAAATGCCTCATCATTATCATATCTTATCAGGGGTGCTGTGCAAAATATCTTTCTTCTGGGTTCAAAACGTAAAACTTGAGTTTTCACAGATAAAAACTAAGGTCCAGAAAGGCTGAGCAAACGGTCATACAGGCCATAGCCTGTATTGCATGTTCAATAAAGAGGAGTCAAAAAAGCTTAAGTAGAACAGGGTGAAAGCAGAACGACTTAGTCCTAGTGACTGTAGCTTGAGTGGTAGGAAGTACCTTGCATTCAAATCTTTTAGTACTTCCTGGTGAACTGAAGTATTTCCTTAAATTGCAGTTCCTTCTGAGAGTGATAAACATTGTGGTCACAAAGTGCATATTTACTGTGTTTTCACTTCAAATGTCCACCTTTTCTTTCATGGCCTGGCCCGTGTGCTGAGTGCCTGTCTCTACGACCACTTGCTCAGAGGTCATGGAGATCAGTGATCTATAAAGGGGGAGCAGCCGTGGAGAGCAAGCTCCATCAGCTCCATGTGCTGCCCCTCAGTGTGTCCTTGTACCCGAGACTACCCCGGGCTGCCTCTCCATGGACAGATCCTTCATGCTCCTTGTTTTCTTGTTCCAGAATAAAATACTAAAAAGGTTCTCACATATGTAAGACTCTCAGAGTTGGTCATCTCCTTTTGGACATGACATCCTAAGCTCACAATTAAATTTAGTTCACTTTCATCTCCATGAATTCGTATTTTTACCAACTTACCTTTTCTGGGGCTCAGCTTTTTGACGTTCTTTGTTATTTTGTCAATCATAATGTGACTGACTAAATAACAAAGAAAAATCACACAATCACATTTTCCATATGTACGTGTTCCCTTTTATTCTAATATGCTTTGTAAGCTATAGCCTCGGGTGTGAGGGCTTGAGTTTCACAAAGATTCAGGGAGGTTGACAGCACCCAGCCAGCTCACAGCACCCTGCCTTGCACAGGAGAAGAAATGACGCCTGTTCTTTACAAACATGAGCCAGGAAATCTTTAAAGTTTGTATTAAGCTGGCAGGCAATTGGATTTCATGATCTCTTTCCATTTACTTCCAAAGTTGTTGATGGATTACACTTTGCTGTTGCAGAACTTTTGGGAAAAACAAGCATCTGCCTACAATGTTCCTCATCCCAATCAAGCTACGTTATATGTTTAAACATCAATGTGATACATTATATTATAAATAAATAGCTTGAGATCTTGATGTTTCATTATATTTGGGTCTATTAAAGGTGACTGAGCTTGTTCAATGTAAAATAGTAGGTGTGTCATTTTGTCAATATTCCATAATCAGTTATAGTAATATTTGTGAAAAAGAAGCAAAATGGAATTCCTACAATGAGGACTCATTAGATTAATTAGGCATAAGAGTATAGCCAAGATAGGTTTACGGAATATCAAGGTCATCCAAACTTAGTTTTAGCAAATAGATGGGAAACTATTTAATGAAGAGAGAATGCAAAGTTTTAAAAGGTCAAAAAGGAGGAAGCAGTGATAATGTGTGTAGAATGCATAGAGACACAGAGATTTAAATTTTTTTACATTTCTATTTTGTCTTCCATGAAACATAATCCATACTTCCACTCTATCCTAGAGTCTCCATTAAAACTGTATTTTGAAAAAGTGACAACTTAAAATGTGTGCTTTAGAATGGTGTTAGGATGTTGTTTTGGGGCTGGGTGTGGTGGCTCATGCCTGTAATATCAGCACCTTGGGAACCTGAGGAAGGCAGATGATTTAAGCCCAAGAGTTCAAGACCAGCCTGGGCAACATGACAAATCCCATCTCTACAAAAAATACAAAAATTAGCTGGGCATGGTGGTGTGCACCTGTCGTTCTGGCTATTCAGGAGCTGACGTGGGAGGATTGCTTGATCCTGGGGGTTGAGGCTACAGTGAGCTGTGATTGCACCACTGCAGTCCAGCTTGGGTGACAGAGCAAGACCCTGTCTCAGAAAAACAAAAAAAAAGATCTTGGTTTGGGAGGCAAGGCTAAAACCCCAGTAATCCTTGTATTGTGTTCTGCTATTGTGAAGCTGCCATGTTTGGGGTAACATGACTCCTGGCAATATGTCAGAATCCATCTACCTTTGAGCTATGTAATAACCTGAGCTATGTAATAAGCTGGTTGTACTGTCCCTTCTGCCTCCATCAGAGACACCTGTCTAGTGTCAAATGTAAAAAGCCAAATAGTTCAAGGGTGTTTAAGAATTTATAGTCTGTAGTGTGAGTAATATGAGCCCTTCATGAAGTAATGAAGATGGAACCCACAGGATCACTAAAGCAACACAAAGTCCATCCATGTGGCATTTCACAAACTATTCTGTGATGCTCTCGTATTCTGCACTGTCAGACCAAGCAACTTAGGAACTTACTCACTTGCACCCTTTGTGAAATGCGTATCTAATATCCTGCTTTTTCCATCATGAATGCTTATGGGACTTTGTATATTCCGTTTGCGTGTAAATATTTGAGCTCTCCTGTGTTTACATAGATACAAGGGAAGGTTCACTTGGTCTGACTGATTCAGAATGCAACTATTCATCTGACAGTCTGGCTAGTCTGGCTAGACTCTTTCTCTTTTTAGTTTTTTTTAAAGCTCCATTTCCCTAGCTAAGTGTTTCACCTGGAATTGCACTTCCTGCTCTCATTTCTCCTGCTGCTTCCTTCAGGCATCTGCTTCTCAAACTCACGTCTCCGTTCCTGGGCTCTGTTCCATGGTCATAGCTCTATATTTCCACTTTCCTTAAGGACATTCAACCTGATTGTCCTGCTGTCACTTCATATTCAAATCTGAATTTGTCTCCCTCCTACACTACCACTCGTTCCATTATGCATCCTCTATTTTTATTAGTAGTACAATCCTTCTCCCTGTCATCCAGAGTGAAAACATTGTTGTCATCTTTGACTCCACCCTTTGCCACGGTTCCCTTAGTCAGGAAATCAAGAGGCAGAAGTCCATGTTTTCTTATTTGTCCGATTCCACTCCTCCTGCTACTTCCTTAAGTCCTTAGCAGTTCAAGTCTGGACCACTCTAAATGTCTCCTAATCGACTCCCCTGCTCCTAGTCTCTGCCTTGCCAACCTCTCCGCTACATGGCTACCAAATTAGCCTTTCTTTATGTCTCCGTCTTGCTCAAAAACTTTTCTATGGCCTCCACTAAAGATACAGCACATTTGCAAGAGCCGGTTTTAATTTTAGGAGTCTTTGAACATAAAATGACATTGAAAACTTATTTCCAGTCAGGATGTTTTTTCCTCCATGCAGGTTTTTACTCCAGTGAGCTCCAAAACGGTAGAGACCTTGTTTTGTCTGTACACGGCTTTGTGATTCATTCATAGAATAGGGCCTGGAATAAATGTTTTTTGAATGAATGAATAAATGAATGACTTCCCCTTCTGGAATGTTTTCTTTTCTGCCTATAGAAACCTGCTAGATTCTTTAGCCCCCTGTTGAAATCTCATCCTTCTGTGGAGGCTTCATTCTTCTCAGTTTATATGAAGGCATCATTTTGCACTATTCAAGGGGCACCAAGTGCTACTATGGGTTAATTTTCCTGTGTGTAGAATGTGTCCTCCCAAGTGGATTTGAAGCTTCACAAGGGCAGGGACTGAATTCTAAGCCTCTTGTGCCCTTCACGCCCTGTGCTCTCACCAAACAAGTGCTTGGTAGCCACTGGAATGATTGGTGAAGATTGTCACATGGGCGGATGTGTCCATCTACAGCTTTGGCTATCAGTCAATGCATTCTCGATGGATCAGTATTGCCCCCTGGGGGCAAAAATAGGTTTGCAGGGGTGTGATGAAAAAAATCTTAGCTATTGCTAGTTTGTGGCCCCCTGAAGGTCAGTTCTACCCAACAAACCTTATTCCTTAGTATTGCATTTTATGTAGGGTGGGTGGGCATGGAAATCAGGAAAGAAAGTAAAAAGATTTCACAGGGAGGAGAAAATGGAAACAAAATGTTTGAGAAATCCTAGTTTAGTACTATGGGAAGCTGGAACCCTGAAGGGAAATAGTTATGCGAGAATTGCATGATGAATGTAAGAAAGTAATCTATGGATAATTGAACTTAATGAGGAAACTCAAACTGGCCTTTCTCCCGCACCTCTGTAATCTCTGGGCCCGAGGTCTGTGCTCTCTTGGGTTAGGTACTCACTCTGAGGAAAGCGGGGTGGGTTGTCATTGACATCTGAGAGGGTGATGTTGACTGTTGTGGTCCCAGCTAATCCTCCAAGCTGCCCTCCCATGTCCTTGGCTTGGATAATCACTTCGTAGTATTCTTTGGCTTCTCTGTCCATGTTCATGAGCGCTGTCCTAATTACACCTGCAGGATAGAAACGACTTTGTTTTTGAAAATAAAACCACAGGACCAGTTTTTAAAGATTGGTTTCTAGGTGTCTCCCTGGTGCACTGTTAACGCCTAGAAGTGAGGTGCAAGTCACCTGTGCTTTTAAATTTGAGGTAAGAAATCTCAACTTCAAGAATGGGCTGTACTGAAATCAGTGGTGAATGAAAACTATTTTATTCCAGAAGGAAGAGCTCAGAGGGCTGGTTTCTTCTGGCAGCATTACTGAAAGTGAACAGGAGGTGGCAGCAGTGTTTCTCTTACAGAGCTGGGAAATTGCAGTCCAAGGTGATTTCTGGCAGCTCTGTCTCACCAAGGAAAACTGGGGTCTTTGGGTCCAGAAAACAAAGCCTCATATGTCTACAAATCTGTGAATTTAGATAATTCTCCTTCAGTTTCTTCAGCCCCTAGAGCCCTTGTTGTGTGAATGGCTCTTCTTTAGGTAACTCATTCCTGCATTTTCTTGCCTCGCTACTACCTGTAAGCAGGGTTGGAATTCTAATTGGATTTTCCTGTTGTTACGTATTCATTCTGTTTTGTGATATTCTTCTGTTTACCTCTGTGCTTTACTGAATTCTGTGAGCTAGGACATGAAAGATGCTCTGTGAGCTGTTTATTTTTACCATGCATAGGAGATGAACTTCCCCAGACAGCAAGCAGCAGATGCGGTTTCACTTAAGAAGAGGGTCCTACACCACAGTCCGTTGAAATGTGTTGTGATCCTGCCACGCCTGTGCAGTAATGTTTTATCTCCCCTTTAACCCTTCAGCTTAAAAAAGTTGACTTCTATACACTCTAGGCAAAGATTAAAGACTTATTTACTACAGCTTTGCAACATGACTCTTGGCTAGGTAGACCTTTTGCATGAAAATGGAAGGGATTGGGAATAATAATCCACCCCAGTTTACTCCTATAATGTATGTATTGCCTTATAGTAATAACATTCTCAAGTGGTATATGCAGCATTTTCTTTTTTAAAAGGCCCCCCATGGGCACAGCAATAACTATCTGTTCATGTATTTTTGACCTTAACACTACAGATGCCCCCGGGAGCTGTCAAAATAATGTAAAGACTCTTCTTAGGATATAAAGGACACATTACCCTCTTCCTCCCTGTATTTTTCCTCCCTGTGGGCACCCTTCATCTCTTCATTCTCCCCCTTGCCCTTAGTAGAATTGTTAAAGTTGCTGTTTTATAGAAGTCCCTAACTGCAGTCTTTTTTTCTTCCTCCTCCTAATTTACACTCCCTTACTACTTTTATGATACAGTTTTCTGAATGTCTGGTTTCCCTCAGGACTTCTGGGAAAAAAATTCGATCAGGTTGCTAATAATAGAAATGTATTTTTTCTTTTTCAAATAAAGAGGTGTCTTTGAGTGTTCACCATTAACTTTATTCTGTGGCTGTTTCTTTACTCAGGTTCCTTGTTAATTACTCCTAGGTTCCATGTTTACCCTCATATAAAATGGAAGTAATAATGCTTCCTATATCTTTTGCTAGTTTACAAGATTATTGGGAAGTTCAAATATGGCATCATTTATGAAAGTAATAAGAGGGGAAGCTTGGCACAAGTATAAAATAATGACATCACAATAACTTTGCCAAGCTCAAACATATTAAATGAAATCTTTCATACATCCAAACAAATTCTGTAGCCAAAGCTCTTGGGTAAGACAGAAATAAATAAGCAAACAAAACAGCAAACTTCTGTTTGTCATTGCTCCTCACCCATTCAGCTCTCTCTGATGTCCTCCCTGTGAGAGCTTCCCAATCAGGACCTGCCTTTTGGGGGCCACATCCCACATGGTCTTTCCTCCCTCATCAAAACCTGTCTACCCCAGCAACCATTCATTTTGGACTTCGCTGCTGAGTGCACAGTGGTTGGTTCAATAGAAAGAACATCAGACCATGTGTCAAGAGACCGCTCTACACTAGATGAGCTTTAGTAGCTCTGTTTCCCGATTGCTTTATCTGTTATTTAAGCAAATGGTGACGGACTGGATGATTCCCCCAAGGCTCTTTCCAGTTTCACAATCAATGCTTCTATTTCTCTAATGACCCAGATGAATGCGTCAATCCTCTTGGGTCTTCATGGGGTTATAAAAGACCTTAGTCCCCGGGAATAAATATAGCCATAGGATTTTTTGAAGGCTAGTGGGGAGCTACTTTGTGTGTGTACGCAAAGGGGCTTTTAGCCTCTCCATGTAGACCCTGCCCATTGTCTATGCATAGCACTGCTCTTACCCATCAGGGCAGTGCTAGTTTGCTCTCTTAATCCTAAAGCTTATGGCATTCTTCTCTGGTTAATACGCTCCCTGGAGAGTCCTTGAAAAGGAGAGTTGGGTCTGTCATAGCAGTAGTTATAAATTATCAGGGAATAAACACCACTGACTCGACCCTTGCATCAGATACCTGTTTTAGAGTCCACAGAAAAATATGGCTGGCCCTGAAGAATGCTGTACACCACCCTGGCGCTGTTGCCATAGGTCGGGTCATCTGCATCCGTGGCTGTCACTTGGATGACAGAGGTACCTGAGGAAGAGAAGTAGAAACCTGTTCAAGTGTAATAACTAAAGGCTGGATACAATCCTGAACGGTCCATCTTAAAGCATTTGCAAATGTGTTTGCTTCATTGGGAGAGTCCCCTTCTAGGTCAAGCTTCCATAGCTCTTACCTTGTACCTGTTTAGTAGGGATGAGAGTTATTTGTGCTTTAAATTCTGAATGACTGGTAAGAACACAGCCTTTGGGCTCTTCATTGCTTGCTTTTTTTTTTTTAGATGGAGTCTCACTCTGTCACCAGGCTGGAGTGCAGTGGCGCACGATCTCAGCTCACTGAAATCTCTACCTCCTAGGTTCAAGTGATTCCCCTGCCTCAGCCTGTTCAGTAGCTGGGACTACAGGTGTGCACCACCACACCAGGCTAATTTTTTGGTATTTTAGTAGAGACAGGGTATTTAGTAGAGATGGGGTTTCACCATTTTGGCCAGGGTCTCCTGACCTTGTGATCCACGTGCCTCGGCCTCCCAAAGTTTTGGGATTACGGGCGTGAGACATCGTGCCCAGCCCTGTTGCTCTTTTGATAATAACAAAACATTTCTCCCTTATGAAACAAATATTATTCAACCATTTATTGATTTTTCTGTCTAGCTAATATTTTGTTTTTAAAGAATCAGAACTAAAAAACAATAATAGGCTTATTATTATTGGTACTTGCTCTGTTTGATTCCAGTGTTTAGGTAGCTTCCTGCCAGCCACAGGGCTTGGTCGTCATTTTTGGTTGCTTTATAATTTGTGAGCTGCTCCTGTCATGCTCTCCTATTCTGAATATATGTGTACCTACATGTGTGTGTGTGCATGTGCGTGTGTATGTGTGTATAGGAGGTGCTGTTTGTGAAAATCAGTGAGTCACCACCTTACCCACTGGGGACATTTCTGGCACAGTGGCGACATAAGGTCCATCCAGGAACTTGGGCTCGTTGTCATTGATGTCTTGAATTTTGATGATGAACTCTGACTCTGGCTCCATGGGCCTGCCCGTCCGCCTGTCTAGGGCTTGAGCCCTTAAAGTATACTGGGCTCTTTCCTCTCGATCGAGTCTCTGAATGGCATGGATGTCTCCTGTGGTGTCGTCGATGGTAAACACGATGCCAGCACCTTCTCCCGAGAGGATGTATTTGATGGATCCATCTCCCCTGTCCATATCTGAATGAAGCTGGGAGAGGAAAGCACCTAATTCTCATCATGGATGTCAACAGGTGTCAGAAAACACATTGATTTTCAGTTTGTTACAAACTTATAACCTCCCTTTACATAAGGAGATTTTTTTTTAACTCAAATGTTTAATAAGTCTGTCTACAAAGAACTAGTTTATGCATTGGACACGATTGTGTCAAGGAGTGGATGTAGGTTGATGAATAAGTAAAATTTTCCATGACACATTCTGTATCCTGAACTTACCATTATTTAAACGAAATTATTCTCCCCATTAAGTATAGAAAACAGGAACTCTGGAAAATGAAGATCCCCAATGTTAGAATAAGAACAAGTTTCATAAGGAGGAATCCTACCTTTCCATTTAAGAAAAATAAAAGTAAAATAAAATGGATAAGCCTAAACATGTTAAAAAGAAGAAATTGCCATAATTTTTGTAGTATCAAACAGTTTTATGACAATTCAAGTTGGTTGATAAGCTGATGGAAGTAGTTTATAAAAAGGTTAAGGGCACTGCAGTGGGAAAAGTGAATGACCTCTGTGGATTCTTTTTCACGTTCTGTGATCCTAGTTCTGTAGTTTCATTCAGTAGGACTGGGCTTGTGTTTCAGGCGTCAAATGGAATTTAACTGCTGGTTATGTTTCTTTACATCAGTATGTGTCTCCTTTAGATGGGACTGGTTCTTGGGTTCATAACTGAGTCACTTAAATCTATATGTGGATGGTTGAGTTAGGGACATGCTTTTATCTGACCATGCAGCTGTATTCCCTCTCAGAATACTTTTTTTTTTTTTTTAAGACAGAGTCTCGCTCCGTCGCCCAGGCTGGAGTGCAGTGGCATGATTTTAGCTCACTGCAACCTCCACCTCCCGGGTTCAAATGATTCTCCTGCCTCAGGCTCCGAAATAGCTGGGATTACAGGCATGCGCCACCATGCCTGGCTAGTTTTTACATTTTTAGTACAGAGGGGGTTTTGCCACATTGGCCAGGCTGGTCTCGAACTCCTGACCTCAGGTGATCTACCCACCTCGGCCTCCCAAAGTGCTGGGATTATAGGTGTGAGGCACTGCACCCAGCCAAAATACTTTTAATAACTCTCAAAAGGAGTCCAGGAGTACTATATTTTTAAAATCTCAGGCCTATAAACATATTTCTGCATCTATAATATCTACTGAATTGCAGATAGTATGTATAGGTGGCAAGAACCCTGTAATTTTGAGTAACCCTATAGGTAATGGTCTCTTTCTAAAGGTGGTAACAAAACAATTAGTTAAATGTAGTCAGCCACTCCGTTGTTGCCTGGGTTGTTAGCACTTTGCATAGTCCAGGGTGAAGTTCATGAGATTAGTTCATAAAATAGCCAGCATTAGGCCTGGGGCAGGGAGTCCAATGTATCTGGCCTGAACACTGTCTAGGCCAGTTATAAATTCAGGGCCCTTGATGAGTTATTTTATGTTTATAACCATTAATTTCCTTAGAAATGTGAGGACAACACTAATACTTATTCTGAAGGGTCACTGGGATCATTAGAGATTAATGCACTGGAGACACCCAGCACAGTACTTTTCCCATCATAGGAGGGCCATAAATGGGGCCAGCCATGATACACATGAATGGAGAAAACGGTATTAGCACACTCAGCTCTTCTCTGCTCCCTGCAGACCTCCAGGAGGGTGGCAGAGAGGAAAAACAACCTGTTGGCTTTTTTGTCATGCACAGTCTCGTGGTAAAAGCTGCGGAAGGCCGCCTGAAGCATGGCTGAGACAGTGTTACTCTGAGGATTAAACGGCATGATCACCAATAAAACACCTGCAAATGCATCCACAACAGCCTCCGACGGGGATGGGTTTGGAGGCTGTGGCTGGCTTTGAGCTGAACTCAGATTGACTCACGGCCAAATCATGCAGGCAACGGTTTTGCTGCCTGGAGGAACTCAGCTGTGTCTTATCTAGAAAAGGGAACTAAGGGAATAAAACTGACTGAAAAAATAGTTGTGGACTTTTCTCTACTTATTTTGTTTAGAATATGAAGTTCTCACATTTCCTCATTTTGTATACAGTATTTTCTTTTTTATTTCTTTCTTTTTTTTTTTCAATCCAAATCTTCTGTTTATGCAGTTATAAACAGTAGAGGTGCCCAACTCTTGTGTAGAACAGAAAGCCATTTCATTTGGACCTGGGTACAAAGAAATGAAAATCTATTCCGTTGGGAACTGTATTCTCAGGCAGAGGAACAGAAGTGTGAGCAGAACAAGGATTTCAGAAGGTGTTTTAAATTTAAAAAATGTATACGTATGCATATAGGTGTATGTTTACATATACAACAGTGTATGTATGTAATTTTATGGCATGGTGGCATAGGAGTTTTAATAAAATTGGTTTAATTTAGGGCACTGCTGATTGTGTAGGGAAGGAAAAATAGAAGCTGACAGAAGGGCTACCCCAGGACTGTTCCGAGGTGCAATATGTATCAAATAAAACCTTTTGTTCCGTGATCCTTGAAATACTCAGCACACCTGTGATCCCAGCAGGCGGCAGGTAAGTGTGCTTTAAGCATTTTAAGAAAGGACAGCAGCAGAGCTCAGGGCAGGGTGCCCCTGACTCCTGGGAGCTGGCTGGTGCCACGTGGAGTCTGGGCTGAGGCTCGGGTGTGAGGCCTTCGCTTTCCGTGTGACATTCATCTTGTTGTGGCCTGACAAGACTCTTGTAAGTGCATAATGAAACTGTTTTGGAAGAAAGGTCCGGGGGAGGGCGAAAGTTCCGTGTGGATGGTGCTAGCCCTGGAGCAGCCGGCCGCGGTGGTTCAAGCCTGTAATCCCAGCACTTTGGGAGGCCGAGGTGGGGGGATCACGAGGTCAGGAGATCGAGACCATCCTGGCTAACAAGGTGAAACCCTGTCTCTACTAAAAATACAAAAAAATTACCCAGGCATGGTGGCGGGCGCCTGTAGTCCCAGCTACTCGGGAGGCTGAGGCAGGAGAATGACGTGAACCCGGGAGGCGGAGCTTGCAGTGAGCAGAGATCGCACCACTGCACTCCAGCCTGGGTGACAGAGTGAGACTCCCTTTCAAAATAAAAAGAAAAGAGCTAGGAGCACCTTTCCAGGAGGTTCGGAGCGCCGGTCTGCACGTGCAAGTGTGCACATGAGCAGGGCAGGAGAGGGAGAGGAAGGGAGGAGGGGAGAGGGAAGAAGGCGGGGGAAGGGAAAAGGAGGAGGGAGGGGGTAGAGAACACCCCCAGGGAAGCAGGAAGCTCTCCACTTTGAAGCATGTCAGTATCTGCTTACACAGAGGTGGTTTCTGAGGCCCATAGGCCTGCCTATCAGTTCGTGGTCTAGTCAGGGAACAAAACTCGCACCTGGTTTCAGCAGGGAGAATTTGGAGTGGAGGACTGAAAGGCCAAAAGGAAGCCCGGAGGCATCAGAGAGAGAGAGAGCGCAACTCCAGGAAAAACAGCCAGTGCCCCTCTGGCTGGGGCAACACAGGACAGAGGTGGGGATTCTGGCATCTGCAGGTTTGGAGGGGAGCCCCTTGAGGCCGGGCCTGAGACCCCTGAGGAAGGAGAGCTGCCCCTTGGGCTGGGGCCTCAGGAGCTTGGAGGAGGTGTCCCTGTTCCCTGGGATTCAGACCTCTTAGAAGTAGGTGTGATGAGGAGCGAGTCACTCTTCCCTTGTCCTGCCTCCTAGGCTCCCTCTAGTACCTTCTACAGGCAGGCAGAACCTACCTGGGAGAGGAGCTGGTTGGAAGAGGAGAAATTGTGGCTTGGAGAGTTTCAGCCCCAGTACCCAAAGCAGAGTGTGGAAAGGTGAGCATGGGGCTGAGAGACACCAGCTTAATAACCCATGCAGCAATGCACATTTAATATTCCGCTTTACCAGCCATAGAATACACATTTGGTTTCAAAAATTGCGAAGAACAGACATTAACAGCTTTTCTCCAAGTCACTCAGCAAATCGGCAGTGTAATAAAAATGTTTTATATTTATCCATATTTAATTCGACTAACACTGACTGTGTACCAGCTATTTGGAGGAAGGTAAGAAGCTTCTGAGCAGAGTCAGTAGCACAGTTATGTACATCTTGGGAAAATATTTTTTTTCTTCCTAAAAAAATATTTTAGGCAGAATAAGACAAGTGAATGTCTCATTTATCCTAACCATTCTTTAGTCTTTAAGATCTTCAGCCAAAGGAGTAGTGAGTGATGGGAAGTATAAGCAGGTTCTGAAGAATCTTAGCTGATTGAGGATTTCGAAAACAGAAATGGTGTTCACTTCTTTTGTCATCTTTCAGAGTGCCTTGAATAGTTTCCAGAATGCAGTGAGTGCTTATAGTTTGTGGTTAGGCAGCTTCTGCATAGTTGTTAACCTCGGCATGATTTGGACCCACAGATTTGTGCACAAGCACAAGCTCTCAGCATCCCTCTCTTTGCATATGTCAATATAATCTAGCTTTAACTCGACACCGCCTTGTCCCTGGAAAGCCCAGTGTGGATTTTGTAAGGCCATACCAATTACAGCTGCTAATTGTTGCCATACTCCTTTCTGAAATAAGCAAATAACTCCGGCAAGCTCTCTAAACAGACATCTTCCGGAGCTCAAGGTGACAAGCAGAATGCCCCTGGGTAAAGAGAATGAAAGTGGATATTCCCTTTCAAAAGAAAGCAAAGGGGAAAAGTGTCTGGGTAAGTGAATATATGATTATCTTCTTCATGTAGAGGTAACACATGCAGGGTAAAAATCTTTGCTTGGTTGCTGGTGTGAGGATTGGGTCAGATGACTATTGAGATAAATGGGTGTCTTGTATCTTGGTTGAGGTTATTTGGAAAGGGCGAGCACTAATTGTGAGTACTCAAGGATGCTACACAGCTAAGAACTACCCAGCGTCAGAGATAAAGGGTTCAGGAAGCAGCCTGGCTCAGATTCCTGATCCCTCCTAAACACCACTGACTCCTGTGTGTATCCTCTGGGCTTAGTCTAAAGCCACTGGCCACAGGCAAGGCAAGGTAAAGGAAAGCCAGAGCTTTGGGGTAGGAGCAATGTATATTTCAGCCCGGGCTTTCCCTGCTACCTTTGGTGTAACTTTGGGCAATGAACGTGAATAACCTCTCTGAGCCTAGTTCCCTGTGTTATACTCACCTCACAGCATTGTTATAATGATTAAATGATCTGCTTTGATGTGAATGTGACCGACACATAGTACTGTGGTAGTCCAATAAAACATTAGCTACCTTTTTCTTCTGCACTCTTTGTGGCCAGTTCTGTGCCAAGTACTCAACGTCAGGGAGATATGGACAAAGTTGGGGAGTGGCGTCTCAATTTCTACCCTTGGGAGGAGGGAAGAGCCCTAAATTGTATGTGCACATAAGTAATTACTGAAAATTGCTGAATACAAACATACTCTTTTCTTGAACTTAGCAGTGGCCATGTATGTCTATTTGGAAGAAATGTTATATAGATATGGAGAAGCTAGAAGTCTTTGGAATTCTGAGTAGGTGCAATATGTGTTCATGATAGAATTGTCTGATTTTAAGCTAAAACTTTGAGAATTTGAATGTGGCCTGATGAGCGGAAGTCAGGGCCTGTCCTGGGCAGAGCAGCAGCGTGGGCACGTGTGGGGCCAGGGACAAACGTGGTATATGTGGCAGAACAAGTTAAGGAGGTCCAGCTCGATTGGGATGGGGACCTGATTTGCGAAATTGTGCGAGAGGGCTGAGTGAGGGAGGAGGAAGTCCTTGAACTGTATGCTAGGAGCTCTGATAGCATTCAAGAGCTACAGTGCTTTCTTAATCAGAGGAGCAACATGATGGAAAGGTGCTTCAGGGAGAGGAATGTGCTGAGCACCCTGGAGGAGGGACGGGAAGAGTCTCTCTACAGGAAGACAGGCAGCACCAGCTTAGTTAATCTAATCAGGGAGAACAAAGGATCATGGTCATGACAGAGCCTAGAGAGGAGGAGATGCATCCGAGAGAAACTGGCAGGGAAATATTGGCAGATATGGGGACCGATTGCATGTGAAGGATAAAGGAGATAAGGAAAGGAGAAGTTTACAAAAACTCACAGGTTTTGAGGCCAAGGGGTTTGCAGCTGCATTAGGTATTACTGAACTGTTGAGTTCCCATAATGAACTCCTTAAACTACTGTTACTGTTATCACTATTAATACTATCGCTACTATAGTACTATTTACTACTACAGGTTAAGGATAATTAAAATTTTACTCTGGATTGAGTACTGTGCAAAGTGCTTTACATGCATTAGCTTACTTAATCCTTACTACCCAGTGAGACCTTCATTTATTAAATATCATCTTGAGCACCTTCTACAAGATAAATGCTGTGTTAGGCCTTGGGGATAATATAGGAGCAATGTTCTTGCTTTCACTGAGCTTCTAGTTTTAGTCAGAGGCTTCAGACAATTAACATGTAAATAAAAAAAAAATCAAATATGGTGGTTGTGATTAGGGCTGTGAAAGAGAGTCTAACAGAGGGGCTTGCCTTAGAGAGTGGTCAAGGAAGGCATGAGAGCAGCCAGCGGAAGGGCATTTCATTATGGGGGGAGCAATAAAGGCAGTGCTTGCCAGGTTGCAGGAAGTCCTGAAGGTCATACCCCTGCAACAGGAGAATGAGGGAGAGAGTAGCATGGGCTGTGGGTGGGTGCCAGGAGGCAGGCTGATCCAGAAAGGAGTGGTCTTGTAAGCTGTGGGGAGGTGTCTGGAGGATTCAACGCACAGTGGGAAAACAGTGGAGAGGAGTAAGTAGAGGAGTGACATGATCTGACTTAAATTTTAAACAGACCATGGTGGAGAACAGATTGGAGGGAGGTGCAGGTGGACATGAGGAGACTGGTTGGGAGGCTAGATATTTGCCCAGGTGACAGATGATGGTGGAAGCAGGGGTAAGAGAAATGCAGGATTTGGGGTTGATTCTGGCATAGGACTAGCAGAATTTGCAGAGGGAGAGAATGTGTGGGCAGGGGAAAGGGAGGAATGATCCCCGGGTCTCTGGTTTTAGGAACTAGGTGATGGATGGGTGATGGGGCAGACTGTGTTTAGGAGAAAAAAAGAAGAGTTTCTTACTGGACACACTGCACTGGAAAGGCCTATGAGTGAAAATTGTGGAGATGTCACATATGCAGTAGGATTTATAACCCGAAGTGGTCTAAGCCAGAGATAGAGGTTTTGCATTCACTGGCATAGACATGGCATTCAAAACTGCAGAGGTGGCGAGTTCACCCAGGGAATGAGCGTGTGGATAAGAGGCTGGGGCAAAGCTGACAAGCCCACCGACAATTGGGGTCAGGTGGAAGGAGAGGACCCACAGACACGGCTGAGACAAAAGAAGGAAAAACGGGATTGTGAAGGTCATGGCACAGAGAGGACAATGAGTCAAGGGAAGACAGGTCATCAGTGTCTGAGGTTGTGACTGAGAGGTGTCATAAAATGAAGCCATTGGATTGGGCAGTAGGGAGGTCTTGGGAAATAATGAAAACACAGCTTTGGGTCAGTGGTGGGGACTGAAGCCATATACCTGGGTTAAGAAGTAAGTGGACACTGGTGAAAGAGCTTGGGTAGACAACACTTGAGAAGGAACAGTTCTCTCATCCTTGTCATTCAAATTTGAGGAAGCCGAGGTGAGCAGGGCTTGGTGACCTGTCCAAAGTCACTCTAGAAATAATTGCAGGACTGGGCTTTGAACTCACCTGTGTTTGAATCTGAAACCCATGCTCCCAGCCTCTGTGCTAAACAAGCGTTTAAGTTACCATTTGAATGAATTATTTATTTTCTAATTAGTTCCTTGTCTCCTATTCTCTCACTTGGTTGCTTTCACAAAATAGTCTGTAATTAACACCCCAATAAAGTAAACATAGGAAGAATTCAGGATTAAAGATGAAATAATGATAGATTAAATCAAGAGAATTCAAATATAACATTTATAAATATATTTATTGTCTCCAGCTATCCTAAAGCACATGCTAAGATCTTCTGAAATGAAAAATGTTTTATTTTTATTTTTTTCATTAAATTTGCACCTTAGGCAATACCTCTGGAAATGCTCTGAAAAAAACCCACAAAAACACAAAGCAAAAAACCCTGTACTCTTCTTGCATTTGCAAATTTCCTTCTTTCCCATTCTATCATTCCCAAACAACAACTGCTGCCTCTTTTAGGACCTGAATAGCTCTTGCAGGGTCTGAGCCTTTTCTTCCAAATCCCAGTTCCCAGTTTTTCCCATTCATAAGAGAGACATGGACAAGGAAATAAATTTTTCTTTTCTGACTGGTATCTGACAAAGCGGAAGTTACATTTTAGCTAGGTGTCAAGTAATGTACCACTTGTTCCAGTTTCTCTCAGGCCTCAGATACAGGCTAGGTGAACTTTCATATTTAATTCATATTCAATTTCAATATCCAATACCCGGGTCATTTCTACTTGGCATTTCTTACCTTGCCGACATACAAAGGGTCAGTCCCAGTGTACTCTTCCAGAACGAAAAACTGGTTCCAAACCCAGCTCCTTTTGGACCGCTGATGTGACTGTGGCTTGTCTGACAGGAGTGCTTCTAATTCACCTTGTGGTGTTGGGGTACCCGAGAGAACGGTGGTTGTAAGGTCCATCAGTCCCCAGAAGTACAAGGACATGCCAAGTCCAAGCCAGTTCTTTGCATTGCTCATTCTACCAGAAGTCCACATGGGATTGCCAGGTTTTCAGAAAGTGGAGGAGAATTATAAGCAACTGGAACTTGAGTATTTTCCAAATTTAAAAAAAACACACAGTTTTTATTGGACACTTACGCTTCCCAAATGAGATCCCGCTTCAAGTCAATCTGCTTGAAGTTGACTTCCTGTCAAGTTAAGGAAAACACAGTGTGATGATGTCAGATTCTTTCCTGCAGGCGGGTTGCAGGTTTTCAAGAAATGTCAGTAAATACTCAGCTTTCTACTCAATGAGTTAAAAAGTCATAACAGGTTATTGCTTTAGAAATGTGTGAGTAATAAATACTATTTTGATAATAAGACAACACATCTTGCTATAATCAATCCCAAACCTTTGGATATAGATTTGGTGGGAATAAAACTGATAAATAAATTTCTTCTCACTAGTAACTTAGCTGGAGGGTTATGCTATATTATTGATTGGTTTGAATTAATAGTGTGCTTTTTGAAATATTTATGATCAGACAGCCTCTTAAACTCTTAAAAGCAGCATTCATTTACCAAATATAGAGCTAATAACATATTTCCATTAGCCCAACTGCTTTTCTTTGCTTATTAAAAAAATAGGATAATCCAACTACCCTTTTTTTTTTTTTTGGTCACCCACAATGATCTTGTGCCTACGCTCTTATTGATAATGCTAGGAATCTTGGGCTTCATTTTTAAGCAGCCATGGATCACTTCTCAGTTTAATCATTTTCTGAGCTCATAGTGGATTTCAAGTTTCACACCCTGCTGCTTTGGCTCCGAAGCACTGATAGGGGCTGCTAATGTGACCTTTCTAGGATTTAAATGGTCAGTTAATCATTATATCCTTCACAACAGACTTTAAAGTGCTATTAGTCTCCTGCCTATGGGAGCAAGCTAAGAGAATGTAGTCAACAAATTTCCTTTCTTGACCTGAAGGACTCATTTAGGCAAAGGGACTTCTACCCTGGGGACACATCTTTCTCAGTCAAACTTTTGTTGCTCTGCAGTCACATTTAGCTCGTGACCTCACTCCTGGGCTTTGGCCTCATCTATCTTTTCTTCCCTTATTTGGCTTGGTTTAATGAGATGGCATAACACTCAAGTCAACCTGTCAAAACAACCAAAATGTCTTCCGTTGGCTTAATATTTTCACTGTTAATTTGAAGAACTGCTGTCATCTGAGAACAAATGTGTGTATTTGGAGATTGCAGCTCCATGCAACTAAATAACACTTCATTTCTACAAGTGGTTTGAAGTGAATGCATTGATGCTAACTCAGTTACTACCTTCCACCTGTTGTCATCAGAACTGGTTTCAGCTTCCTCTCAAATACTCATGATTGAAATTTTAAAATATTTTATAATTATTTAATACAATATGCCATTTCATTTCTGTATAAGAAATCACTTTAATGAGAAGTGATAAGGAGAAAGTAGCTGAGGAGACCGTAGAATTTTTGTAACAGAATGGGAGGCTGTGCCTCTTACGAACTCCAGCTCTGAAGGCAGATTGATTGTTAAGAAAAAGCAAGCCAGGTGCCCCTTATTGAGGGCAATGTGTTTGCTAATAAAGAACAACGGTGCTGCTAGCAGGTGAGTTACCAAATATTCGCTGTTTTCTCTCTCTTTGGATGGTGGACGTCTTCCCTTGGGAACAGAGAAACCTGGTTCATGTTTCTCTGATCCCTGTCTACAGGGAGATGTTCTGGAAGAAGGAACTTAACCCAGGAAATGAATTGATGAGAAAGATTAGTGAGACATAGCTGTGCTGTTTTAGAGACCTAGAAGGCAGACTAAAGGACATTGCCAAAAAAAAAAAAAAGCCACTGCCAGAATACTGTCATTAGTAAACCATAAAAGCAACATTCTGTATATTGTAAGACACAACATATCTATAATTCCTCAAAGTGCATTACACTTAAGAGGCAGTTTGTTTACTGGTTCTATCTTCATTACCTCTGACTTATTTACTTGTATGAATTTCAGTTTCCTCATCTATTAAGCAGGGACAGTAATACTTCCACATACCTCACTGGACCATCACAACAATCTGATGGGATCATGCAGGCAAAAGTGCCCTGTAAATGACTAAGGTACCAACCGAACTTGAACAGTCAGATCAAGTACCTAGGTCAGTAAAAATCATGTAGCTAAGCCAGAAATATCTATTTTATGGGCACCTTTGGGGCCAGAATTCTGAAAGGGCTTATAATGTATATCTGCTATTTTTCAGATCTCTACATCTGTGATAAGTACCGTCTGGTACCAGATTCTGGCTCAGTCTAATTCTGTAATAACCAAACATTGGCATTCCATCTGAGGAGATTTAATGAAGGGCTAGTTATTAGAAAACTCTTCAATGGTAGAGAAAATTATTTTGTGGGTTGCGTTGATTAAAGCTAGAACTCACTCACACTCTCTCTCTCTCTATGTGTGTGTGTGTGTGTGTGTATTCCCTTTAATGTCTTTGTTTCTTACCTATATTTTGCCTAAGCACACACGTCTGTTATTTTCTCTGGCTAGTTGTAGTAACTTGCTTTGAATCTAAGAGTGCGTGTGCATGCATGTGTGGTACTGCAGATGTCTCCTCTCCTGCTTCCACTGGCTACATTTTATGTACAAAATGAGATTTGAGGAATTTTAAGTAGTGTCTTTTAGATTCCCGATTTCTAACAAACTGGGCATGTGTTCCTGCCAATTAAAACCCCCTATCCCCCTACCTCAGGCATGATCTGAAGAGCTCAAGGAGAAGAACCTGCTTTGAAATCTGTGATGAATATTTTCTAGGCGGTCAGGTTGCCTCTGTTTTCATCTCCCTCTCTTTTCTACTTTGGCCTCCTACACAGTAGTGCAAATTCTTACTTTCCTCCCCTCCACTGAACACGTACAAAGGTGGCTGTGGGATCTTGACCTGGGGAACCCTTGGTGATTCTCTGAAAGCCACTGGTACCTTCACACACCCAAAGTCACAAAGACCACAGTGTCATACCAACTCTTTCTGTCTTACATAACTTGATAGCAACAGTTGATGCAAAGCACTTTATTTCTGCTTCCTCGGGGATGAATGCATGAAAAAGACTCCCTGCCTAACTTTCTAGAAGGTGGAAGCTGGGTTATACAATAGTTGCATTATTCTTTTCACAATTCGAGGTGTTTTTTACAAAACAGTTCTATCAGAAATACTACTCAGTTTGCATTTATTTTAAGTGAGGTGGTTCTCATATTCATGTTTTTTCCCTACAGGATATGAATAGCAATAATGTGTTTGGGGTGGGCTAATTGCTGTTGTTCTTATAAAAGAAGATACCGATACATGTGTATTTGTATATGTAGATCTGCTTTGGAAGACTACATATGCCACATGAAGAATACATTAGTGGAAATTGACTTCTGCGTTAAATGAGTCTTTTAAAAGTTTCCCCCTCATCCTCCCTAAAGAAAGAAAACAGCTTGGTAATGAACACAGTAGGAAGAAATTAAAGTTGTACATAAAGTGTGCTCTCAGTGAATTGTTTATTTTGTTACTTAAATTCATTGTGATATTTAAAATGTAGTGGGGAGGGATGGTTACTACTTTTTCCTTGAAATGAACTGGGCTTTTATGGTCTTGCTCTGATTTCTTTCCTCATTATTCCAGTTTTCCTGAGCTTTTCATGGTTAATGCAAGTACTACTTAGCAAAGCTCAAATGACATCTCTATAGAAGCAGTCAATCGACTCTGTTTGTGACTCCATATAAGAAGACGACGGGGCGTTTTAATGTTCTGATTTGGCCTAATGCCTTTAAGAGAGGTAAATGCAGACAGTAGTGTCATGGTTTTAAGAGCTAAACTTCTTAAACTTTCATTTTTACTTATAGAAAGAGCCTCAAAAATGCACTTAAAAGAAAAGAGAGACTTTGTAGAGATCTTAGATAGTACAGTGAAACATGACAGTGTACCGTAAAGTGCATCAACATTAAATCAGAATGCAACTTAATGTCATAATGCTATTCCACCTCCCAATCAAGGTTCTCGCTTGGGAAATAGCAACAAACCCATTTTACTTAGGAATTAAAATCCTTTTGTAAACAGTGCAAAACCCCAGAGAGTGACACAGGTGGTCACGGGTGTAAATTGGAGTAAAAAGTTGTTCGTGTATTTCAATGTGTATGGTTCACAAACAACAATATTCCCATTGCAGAATCCCATAAAGAAAAAAGTTTTAGTGCTTCTGTAAATACACTTTCAACATTCCTGGATTTGTTTGTGTATGTTTGTGCTGCTGACCAAAGTCTATCACTAGGGGTCTGTCTTGGACAGGGTGGGTAGTATGGTTTTATATGCTGAAAGGGGATACAGTTCTCTGAACGGAAGTTGTTTTCATTTACTAAGTTTTTATTATATTTCTTCTGTACTCTATACATAAGGATTTTAACTCCTAATCTAAGTGGGTTTGTTTCTGTTTCTCAAGAGAGAACCTTGATTGGGAGGTGGAATAGCCTTATGACATTGAGCTGTATTCTGATTGAATGTTGATGCACCTTATGATACACTGTCATGTTTTGTTGTAATAGCTAAGATCTCCATAAAGTCTCTCTTCTAATTGCATTTTTGAAGGTTTTTCCATAAGTAACAGTGATAGCTTAATTTTCATTTACTACAGAGGTTCTATCCATCACAGTTTCTTCTGGGACAGTCATTAGGTGAATGGAAGCTCCATGGCCCTTTTGTGGTCATCAACTCACCAGCCCACCCAAAGCCACCCATCTGTGGAGGCAGCCAACTCTCAGCAGGGCCAGAAGCGGTAGTCCAGGTACTAGATTTGCTGAATTTTAAGTTGTACTCTCACTTCCACTCCCCTACCTAACCCTCACCTGCCTCACCACACCCCTCCTCCCAACTTAACCTTTCTGAAGTAAGATATATCTTAAACATTAATGTTTACTTATTTAATGTTCTCATAGTAGGCCTCCCTCACTCCTCAGAGAAGCTGTTAATATGTTGATGGTGTATGCAGAACTGAGGGATTACAGTATTACATTTTTAAGAAATTGAACAGAAGAAGAAAAATAATACTTAATTTCCATGGAGATTTCTTAGAAAAGATGGTCACCACTCTTGCTTATTCTAATTTTCATTATTTATCTTTCTATGAATTCCTTCTCCACCAAGTTCCTCA